AGTCATAAAAAATAGTCCTCTGTTTTACTTTCAAGTAGAATGAATATTGGTTGTATCATCAAGCTCGAAGCAGTGCTGTCCATTAATCAATTCACATCTATTTTCACATTTTATTCTGCAATCTTTTAACCCTATGATGACAGGACCTGAATTCTTTGTAATGTAATATTATGCAAAAGTCTAGACTTTGTGGCTAGGCCTCAGCTGTGTAAGGCCTGCTCACCTGTTGCAAGTCATGACACATATATATATGTCAAAGGCCATTACACCATGATGAAAATAGATGTACCCATCACTGAAGGATTAATCCAATGCTAACTGTGGGGCACTAGCTCCTGTGCCAAGATTGATTTCAGTCACCAGCATGAGCCAAAAATTTAAAGTACGGGGATGATTTCTCCCTTTGTTATTTTATTCTAAACGAGCCTATTACTACTTCTCAATCAGGTCATAAAAACAAATCTGTAGTCTGTAGTCCAAGAACCTGCTGTATTAGAGCTTTAAATCTCTATATCTGTATAGTCCATAGAATTTAGAGCAGCCTACACTATCACCCTATCTGCCATCATTGGGTTTAAAATTCTGACAACTTTCAATGCCAGTTTCCAATACATAATCTGAAAATCAAAACTTTCAATGCACATGCCATGCAAACAACTGTAAGTCTTATTCTCTAATTCACTGTTGACATTCATCTTTTTTCTTTTCTTTGTATTTCTTCTTTCATTTTCAGTATCATCAAAACTTTCAAAGTACACCAAAGTGTTACATACTCTTCACTAAAACATGTCAAAATCTCAAAGATATCTGTCTTTATTCCTCTAAGATTTATATTAACTGTAAATTAACAATTTTACAATGTACTAAAATTCATGCATAAGGAAAACCAAAAAGATCCATAAAGTAAACCAACAGAAAAGCATGCAACTGTGCAAATTGTAAAGACTCCACACAACAGGCACTGCTATGAAGATGATGTGTTGTTGATAATGCCAAAAAAATACTACCATGCAAAAATGAGGCACATGCCACAAAGACATAGAGGTGGATACCATGCCCCATATTTATTTGAACTAAAGGCAGCAATGCAAAGTCCTCTTTTGTTTTTCTTTAGTCTCAATCTATTAAGTTAACACAAACAATATTCTTATAAATAATTTTGACAAGAGAATTATAGGCTTGTGTCTCTCACAAATTTTTGCCTTGTGAGTATGTGTAGTTATGTTCCAATATGAAGATAGTGATTACAGAAATAAAGAAAATGAGAATAGGGAGGGAGAGAAGAAAAGAAAGAAAATGGCTTCAGAAAGACTAAGTTCAACCATGAAAATGAAAGGGCACAAAGATCCTCCCATGCTTATTTACTTCATTTATCCAATATTACCCTCCAAAGGATATTACTCCATCTTGTTTATCTCTTAGTCTTGTTATGCCATATTTGGCTCAAGAGACAGATGCACTTACCTTCTGCTTCTAGTAAAAACTTTAAATCTAGTACACTTTCAGCCTCTACCAGAATTCCAAAGCAAGATTATCTCAACCAAAAAGTTTACCACCTATTTAAGCAAGCTTAAATGGACTGAGCATCATTGGAAGTATCATCATGTTGCTCTCTCTGCTGAAAACATAGAACGATGGACTTGTGTCACACTGTCACCATGCTTAAAATTAATCTACTCACCCATCCTCCTCATTCTCATGTTCTTCCTCTTCTGGTCCATTGGCAACTCCACGCAGACTCCTCCTCAAGCCAGCAGCTGCTGCGTCTGAGGAGGAGAGGTTTCTGCTCAGCCTTGACTTTTTCGATCTGAGGTTGACCGGATCTGGTTGCTCTTCAATGCGTTTGGACTTTCTGGTTCTTGATGTTTCCTCAACTTCATTATTTCTTCTCGTGTGTCTCTCAACAACTTCATGGTTCTGACTGATTGTGCGGTCTTTCTCATCACTCCTTCTCGCTCGTTTGTGCTTTGGAGTTAGTCTCTCCTCTGCCTCCTGCTGGCTCTTATTTTTCTGAGCCTCATTCTTGTCAGTATCCACTGGTGCTTGCTCTTCCTCCTCAATCTCGGAGTGTTTCCTCCTCCGACCTTCCCTACTACTGTTGACAGAGGAGTTCAAGGTCTTATTCCTGAGTCTCTGTGAACGCTCTGACTCCCCTGCTGATGTATTATGAGATTCCTTTTCCATGTCCCCTATGGAGGTGTCTTGCTTTCTCCGAGTTCTCGAGGACTCTCTGTGGCTTGTGATGGTTTCCTCGGTTTCTTGTGCTTCCGCTTTTCTTTTATTTCTAGATGTTTCCCTGACAACAGAGGCGTCTTCTTCACTCTCTCCAACTTCAGGTTTCTTTCTAGTCCTACTAGAGGTTTCCCTCCGGCTCTTTGGTATCATGACTGAGGAATCATTGTCTTCCTCTGTAATTTCCCTTGAATCTTCAGTGTCTACTTCCCCATAGTTAACTCGTGAGCTGGATGCCACTCTCCTTGAGTTCCTTGGTGTAGACATTGAATCTAGATTGCCTCTCTTGTTGCTCACTAGGTCTTTGATAAAATCTGGAGAAGAAATGTCAACAATTAAACATATTTCAAAGACAAATTAAATACCCATATATCTTTTTCAGATATTCTTTGGTATATTCAGAAAAAATACTATTCACTGAAAGCTGAATCACCAAAAAGGCTTTTGCCTACTAGAAAAATTACATTTCCTTATTGTATATGAATTCATTTTCAATCCATTCCTATCAAACACTAATTTTTTTTAAATTAAAATCAAAGACAGTAGAAGCAGTTTTCAAAAAGGAAAAATACACTGTATGGACATTATCATAAATTACTTTTGGACTCCTAAAAAAAACGTTCAAGCATTTCACTATCTTCAAGTTCTTGTATAACCCAACTTGGCAAAACTACCTTTGAAACAGTGTTTCATCTTATACAATATAGAGACTTTTGATTATATATGAGTTTCTTTTTGTTAACACTTACTTCCTTGTCAAGAGTCTATTGGCATACCTTTTTCTGTTGGCTGCGGCTCCTCTAAGCTCAGCCTCTCATCTTCGTTGTGGCCTCTCACTCTTCGTTTCCCTCTCCGCCTCTCCAGAGAACACTGAGTTTCCTTGAGGGTATGTGACTTCCTCCTTTCGCTGTGGAGGCTTCGGAAGGTAGGTTCAAAATCGCTCTCATCCTCTTCCTTAAAAACATAAGCATCCTCCTTTGAGGCTAATGACATCTTGTCATCAATTTTGTTTTGTGAGGAAATGTTTTCAGTCTGTTTGATATCATCAACACTGCTGTTAATATTCTCCTTCTCCCTCTCTTTGGCTTCCACCTGAAAGTATGAGTAAATGTGAATTTTGCAGTCATTCTATCAAACTTAACTGTGAGTTAGAAAGGTATAGCATCAATTTCTTTTGCATTGTCATTAAAAGATTCATGATTCAATTTATCCCCATCAGTGAACATAAACTCTTTACCACACCAATAATTAATTTTTACCACATCAATAATAAAGTAATGAACACTTCTGACAAGACTTTAACAAGAATAATAAAGATTGTTACTCTGACCATAGTAAATGAAATGGTGACAAGTGAAGATCTGTAAAATAATGAATTAATGCCCCTGGGATATTAGAAAGACATTGTGAAGATACGTCTAAAAACAGCATACACTGAGAGGCAAATTCAAAATTTGAAAAACGCAGAAAGCAATCTTTTCTGAAAGTGACAAACAAAAGTTGGCGCAAACGATCATCCTTACCACAGACTCCGAAATCTCGGCTGTGTCGGGGACCTTGGCAGCTCTTCCTCGCTTCTTGGGGGAAGGTGACAACAGCACAGGAGGCACTTGGGATACTTCCTCCTCCACTTTCTTGGGCTCAGGCTCCGACTCTGGCTCCGGCTCTGGCTCTGGCTCTGGCTCCGGCTCAGGTTCTGGCTCCGGCTCCGGCTCTGGCTCTTCCTCCTCCTCTTGTAGTTTGCTGCTTTCATCTGCCAACACTGGTTCCTTCTCCGATTCCTCCACCTTGATGTCATCCATCTTACATGATTCATCGTTTTTGCTGATCTCCAGACTGTCATTTTCTTTCTTCTCCTTTGTCTCTTCTTTCTCTTCCTCCTCCTGAAAGGAGAGGGTAATATGCTTTACTAGCATTTCTAATATACTTCTCATAAGAGCATGATCAAAACAAAATCTTGAAAAAAATTTCCTAATTGCAATTTTTTCAGTATAATCCTGCCTCATTTGCACATGTGCATGCACGCACACACATACTGACACTCACACACTCTCTCTCTACACCTAAAAATGCCATGAAGAGACACCCTACCTCATCAGAGTCTTGTTGCACGGATACATTATGCCCAGGTACAAGTGGTGACCAGCGGAGTGCTTCTGGATCTAGCCGCAATCTCCGGGGGTTGTTCAGCTGCTTCTGGTAGTGTTCCTCTACCATATTCCAGTCTATGCTAACTACCATTCTGAAATGTTTGAGAGAATTCTTAGGGATACTTTTCTTAATATTTTTAATACAAATACTTGCTCTTATAAATTACCTGTCTTCTTCTCCTTTATATTGGGTTTCCTTTCTTTTTCCTATCATTATCTTCATTGTGAATTCCTCCTTTAAAAAACCAAATCAATATGAAGAAAGTCAAATCTTGTTTTATCATTTGAGTATTAACATTTATCAATAATTATGCATCAAAACATCAAAAGCAAGATGAAAAACTCTTTATTGTACTAGCACCTTCTTTAACCAAAACAGTTTTACTTACTGTCCTAATGCATTTCTCTTAAAGAAGCCAAGAATATTCAGTGTATACACAACATCAGCAGGATACATGGCTTTGTCCTTGACCACTTCTTGGATACAGAAGGAGCTTTTGTCCCGTAGGTGAAACAGGTACTCCAAGATAACCGACTTCCAATAGGCAGTGTAAGAAACTCTTCCCAGGTCGGAGAGGGGCTTCTCAGGTGTTCCTGGCTGGCCCTCTCTTTTCGACAGCAAGTAGCCTGAAAATGTTGTTAATTAATGGCTATGGAATGAAGAAGATACCCAATACCCTAACTTATGATATCATGATTATATTTATGTGGTAGACCCTTCAATATATCCTTCCCTCTCTTGAAAGGCAGCTTTGCACTACCTTCCAAGTTTGCAATTAAAAGACTTTACATTTATCTAGATCAGTGGTACTCAACCTCTGCATCATGGCACACAAGAATGTCACAATAACCCTTGTAGCAGGTCACATAATAATTTGCAGATGTGTATTTCTTGCTCTTAGCCCCATATTGCAGGTGTGCATCCCTTCTTCCCATAACAAACTAAGCCCAAATGCTAGCTGGCAAGAATACACACCAAATAATTATATATCTTCCAGTGCATTTGGTTCAATCTCATACAAATAAGTTTCTTTGGGAAATGCAGTTGATGATAGTTCCTCAACAACCGCACATATCATTTTTTTATTTAGTTACTTTGATCTTCTCCATTATCATAGAAAGAACCATAAATCTAATGAAAATCTATAAATATCAAAACAGGTGTATAATGAGCAATCAGTAACAAACCCTTTTAGAGATATGACAAAAATTGTTGTAACTTATCTCTACTACTGTTAAGGAAACAAAAAAATTTTCTATCCATCACATTTGCCAACACAAACAAACTTGATAAGAATGCAAGTAAATAATCACATCCAAATACTAATCACAGGGAAAGAGAGAAAAGGCCAAATACACATTTAATAAGAAGAAATACTCATACTTGGTGCTTCCCCAACAGATCCCTGGTACTCCTATTGCTAAAGATGTATCCATGTTTTTTCAAATTCACTACTCTAGTAAAAAATTTGTTGGTGATGTATTTTGCAAAATATTTATTACTTGAATTCTGTTTCTAGAAAATTACATAGGGATAATGCATTAACCCATTGGATTCAGTTGTGTCACGGAAATCAGTGTGCCGAAAACATGGGCAACGGGTTACTAAGTAACCAACATCCCAGGCATGTGGCGCATAGGCTGGGTGCCCATGAACACCCACTAGCAGTGACAAGACTCTGTGCCTGCCCTTTGCAAAGTTATTTTATGTAAACTTTTTTATCTTTATTGCCATTTTTCAATGTCCATATTTGTCTTTTAACTTGCTTTATCCAGATGGTAATAGCTTATTTTCCTTGCACAGACTCCATATCATCTCTCTATGTAGTAAACAACTCAGTGCAAGGAAAAAAATAAAGAACATTTGGTTATTTGAGTCATATCTCTAGCTAGGAATATAGTGCGCAGCATGGAAATGGAGTCCTCCCTGGAGCCGGCACTCTTCCAGTCCAGCTTACGCACATTACACTCCACTTTCGTTTATCAATGGGAATATGCTAAAGCCCCCTTCTAAGCACCAAATGAATTAAATCACACTCCAAGAGGTTTGTGCACTAATGGAGAGTCTTTTCCGTTACCCTGGCCTTTGCTCATAATGGCCAATTCCCATCACTAATGCCACAGCCAATTTGTCTGATGACAGAATGTACACGTTACCTGCCCCTCGACTCAAGTTTTCCCATGACGTCATTAGGGTCCAATGGGTTAATATTTCACTGTTACTAAATGGAAAATGAAAATTGTTTCTGTCTTCAGCTTCCAGAATATCATACATCATGATTTCTTTTCATCAATTTAACATTACATCACCATCAAAAGTACAGTTATGGATGCTTATGAAAATTTCAGCAGTTTTATAATTTTACTTCAGCATCACATAACATCATGACTATCATTAACATAAACCTAAGACTTAACTGTTTTACTAAAAAACAGTTGCAAAGCACAATCAAACAGATCTACCCATACAGTATCAATCATATACTTACTAAAATCAATAAGGAAACGCCCGTAGCCTTGCCGCTGGTACTGTGGCATAGTCATGATACATGACACATTATATTTTAATGCTGAGAGCTTCTCCTTACTGAAGTATCCAACAAGATGGCAACCCTTCTCATCATTGCGAGTTAAAACGTAGAAGAGAAAGGGTTCTACATCATAGTATAGAGTCTTATGATCCAGGAACAATTTAGCTAATAGGCACAGATTCTGACAATATATTTTGCTCACATTACCATCCACCTGAAATAACAATGGCACTGTTAGACATGCATTTTTTTGTCTAATACTTTCTTAGTATAGTATTCAAAATATACACACAAATATGATACATCTATATTCTGCAACACAGATTCAGTTTTTGCAGCAGTACTTAGAAGACAATTCTAACAAAAATGAATCTGCTAGGATCTGAAAATGTTACAAGTACACCACTATCAACCAATAAAACAATACAATCCTTTACTTTATTTCCACTGACCACTGAAACTCTAATAACAAAACAAGCAAGAAGGAGGAACATACCTCAAAGACAGAAAGATTATCTTTCCGGTAGATTTCAGTACCAGGTGGAGTGCGCCAAAGACACTTTTCCAAGTGCCGGCCCAACATAGAGACACTTTTCATGTACTTAAGACAGAATTCACAAAGGAACAGTTTGGTTAACCTGTCAGGAGGTATTGAAAAAATTAATAATGTGTATAAACCTTAGATGTATCATCTTAAAACTACTTTAAAAGTGTAACTTATAATAATCAATAAACATTAAGGCACTCTTACTGTTATTACTCTAATGATTCCTAAAACTAATGCAATGGCTGGAATCAAGAAACAAAATTGGAGGGGAAAAAAGGACTCACAGACAGACACAACAAAATAAAACGTACAGAAGAGACTGATTATTAAAGTGATTTCTAAAAGAAAATGATGGACGCCTGGTAAAGGCTCTTGATCCTGGGGTAGCATGAGTACGAATGACTTTGGTTTATCTATTTTGCTTGACATAGATGGCTGGTCAAATGACAAAATAATAATACAGCAGACAGTATAAGTACCCAGCGTTAATAAAAAAAGGAAAGGAAAGGAAAGGAAAGGAAAAAGGAAAGGAAAAAGGAAAGGAAAGGAAAGGAAAGGAAAGGAAAGGAAAATAAAACAAAATAAAATAAAGAAACCTGAAGGAAAACAAGAGACAAAAAGGCTTTACGTACCGTGCATATTCCTGGGGGTATGGAGCGGAATACCATGTCTGAATATCATACTGGCCAAAATCTATGCTGGCTGGACACCGTGACATATTGAAGGGGTCCCGCTCTTGAACCGTTGTTCTATTTTTATCCATTTCCTGGTAAAGAGACAAGTCCACTGATGAGCTTCTTAAAACATAGAGTAGTTATTTATAAACAAAGCCCATAGTTATTCCCAGAAAAAAAAAAAAGTTTATAGCTTTATCTGTCAAGATGATGTCTTCATATATGACTAGAACTTTCTTTTTCAGAATCATTATTGACATCTTAAACAAAGCAAAGTCATCCAACATTCTAAAATACTTCATATAGAAAATTACTTAATGCATTATAACATCCCATACTTTCTCTTTAGAGTTCAAACTCACCTGCACTGCCTGTTCCTGAGCCTTCTTAAACATTTCCAAATCTCTCTCAGTGACTCCTGGGGGTAAAGGTGGTCGATGGAGGGGCTCCATACTGACTTTACTCTCCACTGTGGGCGGGGAGAGCAACACTTCAGCATTCACTCCCGGATCTACCAAGGTCATACTTATACACACACTGAGCCTCAATGCATTAAAAAAAAGTATCTGGGAAATTATTAACTTTAAAAAATTCTGAGTTAATAAGAATCATTTATTCATTCACACACAAAAAATTATTTTAAAAAATAAACTAATTTCAAGCTATTCTGATTTTTCTTACTGTGATTTGTTTTCCTTAAGAACATTACTTTGCATGAACTAAAGGATTCAAAATGTTAATTCTTTTATTTCAAAGTAAATATTATTAGAAGGAAGAATGGTTTAAGGCATTAGTATAGTAATATCTCAAAGAAAGTTAAAATATACAATAATTAAAATACACACAAACAGTAAATGATTAACCATATATTATTCATGTCCTTCAACATTTAGCAACCATAATCATGAGGCCTGACTCCCAGAACCCAGCACAGCCCGGCCCCATTAACTAAGGAAAGCACACACCGCCTCTAGCCCCACTATGTTGTAGAAATTCAGGGTGAGAAAAGCTACCCGGTTATATACAGGTGGATCGCAAACCTGGATCCAAATTTTGAGGGTTATGAGACCTTATTACTTGCTGTTGCTTTTTGCTTAATATTGTTATTACTTTTTATAATTCTGGTGGTGTCAGATATGTCTGGGTTCCCAGATCGAGAGGCCCCGAGAGCTTCCACAGTTTGCCATCCCCCACTTGTTCGTACATTTTGAGAGACTAGTTCCCACCACATAACCCTGTAAATTGGCCAAATGGTAAGCTAAGGAAAGCCAGGGCAACTCTCGTGGTAACCGTTGAAGATAACTGCCAATAACAAAACACTACATCCAGGAGAGGAAAATCAAAGCATAAAAATAAATCAAAACTTGGTATAAAAAAGGGAGAAAAACAAAATAAAGAAGCAGGTCCTTATAGATCTCCTACTTCTTGATATTTCACTGATTAATCTCTGGCATGCAGTGCCTGTCACCATACATCAGTTTATAAAAACATTTATATCACTCATGCACAAGTGCATTGTCTTCTGCATGCACTAAAGCGATAAGCAACAGCTGGGGTTGAGCCCTTCAGTTGCAGTGCTGGACATTTTCTCTACTCAACAGTGCAATACTTGATATTGTCCTGATTAACTATCTTCCTGTGTCCTCTATGCTGAGAATACTTTGGTTCTGAGTAAGAGTGAGAAGTCAACCATGAGGTTGAAGACTGTCAAATTCTCTAAATGAACTATCATTATATTCTTCATAATCAAAATCTTATCTTTACAATTTATCTGATTATAAAAATCATTGATGATTTGGACATTTCATGAAAGTATCAATCCCTCTGGATTACATAGTTCCTCCTCAACATGCATTTCGTCAAGTG